CTGGATCATCCATTTTGACCTTTGATGTGAAACGCATCACATGTCTATTAATGCCAATCTCTTTGAGGGCATCAGTCAGATTTTGTAGCATAATGCGATTGTCTTTCATCACCAGGACGCCGTGTATGAGGCGACGACGCTTTGGATCCGGTGGCTGAGCATTGTAGGTGCGAGCCTCCGCCTTCAGCAACGAAATTGAGGCATCCACGGGTATTTTGACGGGCGTAGAGATTACACAGGTCTCGCCATTGGCTGGCATATATGTTTCCAAATTAAACTCGTCTCGAATTTTGGCTCGCAGGAATTTCATCTTCTCAGCTTCGCCGTGGACAAGCATTACGTGTTTGGGCTCACAGTTCTGGATGAGCTGCATTATACCTAAAATGAATATAATACTTATTTGATGCAATTAGGACATATCTATTAATATTACCCTTGGCATCGGCATGAGCCGAAAAGCTCATGTACTCCACGGCCATTTTGACCTCTATGATCTGACGATTCTCGCATTCGACTTTTTTGGCACCACCTAAAATCTTGTTGCCCACTGTGCCCTGCACACAGTAGCCGGGCATTATGACCATATTGTTCTCATTCGGTGCCCATTTCTTAAAGATTTGTAACGAGAGACCGGCGTGCAACATGCCTGGGGTGGCAAAGACAACCATTGCACCTGGATTATCAATGTATGCCTTGTCGAAGGGCTTTATGTGTTTGAAATCAAACATATTTCGGTGTACAAACGTTTTGCGGATCTTTTGATTCGTCCAAGTGATGAACATTTTGTAGTATGTATTCGCCTTCTCAGTGAGACCCAGTGCAAAATAGATGGGATATTTCAGATTCATGCGTTCCCAATATGTTTCTAGCAGAATGCAAAGCTCCTGCGCTCGTCCCAATGCAAAGACTGGTATCAAGACTTTTCCTCCTTTTAGCACGCATTCGTGTACTTTTTTAAGGAAATCTCGCTCCCTACAGCGTTTTGAATCTCGTATTGTTGTGGCGTATGTGCTCTCAGTTATAAGCAAATCCGGTCGGCATTTGTCAATCCAGGCAGCGCCTAAGTGCCGATCCGGAGTCATATTGTAATCGCCGGTATAGACAACACTTTGGGAGCCAACTTTGATCCAAAACATTGCGGCGCCAAGCACATGGCCTGCATAGTAGGCCTTGATCTCCAAATCTGTGTCCACCATCATGCTCTGATGTAATGTGACGGGTATTACCTTCTTCATGCAATCTTTGATCATTTGTGTTGTAAAGAAATTCGATTCACCTTTGCGTTCAACAGCCACTTTTCGCATATCTTCCAGTAGAATGGGTGCAATAGCCTTGGTCGGATGAGTCATGTATATGGGACCAGTGTAGCCCACTATCTCCGACATATAGGGTAGAGCGCCACAGTGATCTAAGTATATATATGTGATTAAATACAAGTGCTATTGGAGCTTGATAGAAATTAATTACTGCTCACCAAGATGAAAGTGTGATATGATCACGCAATCAATGTGACTGGTTATTGGTCCTTCGGGCACAATGTATGAGAAGTCCGGGAAGCGTCTTTCATCATTGTAGCCCATATGCATGCCGCAGTCAAGCATTATGTTTTTTCCGCCCATCGACAGTAGTAGACAGCTGCGGCCTACATCCTGACCGGCGCCTAATGGTGTTATTTTAATATCCGGCATTGTGTGTGCGAGTACTCGAAAAATTCTAATGCAGTGTAGATTTTGTTAACGCCACCGGCCATCTGTTTTCCTCGATTGGTGATAATACAGCGCTGCCACTTTTGCTACAGATGTTGATGCGTATGAGGAGCATGCGTTGAGTGAGGAGTTATTCTGTTAAAGCTATAGCAAAATATTCGTTATGTTATGCTCGCTGTTGATAACATTGGTTATGTTAGTGGTCAATTCAGTTTTATTGTTCAACAATTCAGTCCAAACAGAGAGGTTGGCGGCTCATAAAACTTTCTCAAAATGCCTGATACGCTGGAGGATGCGGGTCCTTCCACGGTATCGCTACGAATCTGTATGGAAGGCCATGCCAACGCCTTGGCCTTAAACAAGGAGCATAATCAAATTGCAGTTGCCGGACGTAGCTGTAAGTAAAACCCCATTCCTGAGGTTCCATTTCTGAGATTAACGAAAAGTTTCCTCCCAGTGCTCAAAGTCTATTCGATTGACGCTGAAAGCTTCACGGAAGTGTGCAACATGCGAGTCGGCAAAAATCAAAATCTCAGCTATTCCTCTAATGATGTTGCTTGGAGCACATTGGATAGCAATATTTTGGCCACGGCAGCCACCAATGGTGTTGTCTCCGTTTGGGATCTTTCCAAGTTTGGACGGCAAAAGCAGCTGCTCGTTTACAATGAGCACGAGCGCACTGCTCACACAGTTACGTTTCATAGCACAGAAGGGAATATTTTGATATCTGGCTCACAGGATGGCACCATCAAGTGCTTCGACATACGCTTTGATACGTCCGTGAACACTTATTTCAGCAACTCGGAGTCCGTTCGCGATCTTAAGTTCTCACCGCACTCGCCGAATATATTTTCCGCCGTATCAGAGAATGGAACCGTTCAGTTGTGGGACATGCGTAAGTGGGACAAGTGCATGGTTCAGTTCACGGCGCACAGTGGACCCATCTACACTTGCGATTGGCATCCCACACGCAATTGGCTGGCTACCGGCAGCCGGGATAAGCAGATAAAGGTGTGGAATATGGACGGACGTGCCAGCTTGGAGTACACCATACATACGATCGCCGTAGTTGGCCGTGTTAAATGGCGGCCAGAGCGAACGTAAGCTAATCATATATGAATTGATTTGAAGTCTTATAATAATAATGACAATCCATAATCCATATCGGCAGCTATCACATAGCCAGCTGCGCCCTCGTGGTGGACTACAGCATACACGTGTGGGATATACGTCGCCCCTATATACCCTTTGCCTCCTTTAATGACCACACAAACGTCACAACGGACATTGCTTGGCAGGGCAGTGATTCGCATTGCTTGCTCTCTACAAGCAAGGATTCCAGCATATATAAGCACGCATTCAAGGATGCTACACGTCCGGCTTTGAAGGCCAATGCACAGGGCGCCAGCTTGGGCAGACATGGGGACATCTCATTTGCCAATAAAATCAAGGAATACGCAATTAAGTCGAGTGGCTTATCCAATACCAAGAGTACCAACTTTATGTGAGTTTAAGCATACAGAAATATTATCTATAATAACATGTATTGATCTTTGTAGAAGTCGCCGTAAATCAAATATGCCGGGCAACATTCAATTCCATCTGGACCATTCCAAGATGTATATGTTTATGCTCAAAAATGTGGTAATAACGAACTGAAAATTTGAATATATAACCTTCATTTTAATATTGAACATGGCTCCATATAGAACATGACCTCAGGCTCTGAATTTCCCGCTCACGATACTACCACTGAGCTGCGGGTGCATGAAGTCTTCATTGGGTGTGCCCGGGAACTGCTGCTGAGCGGCAAGAAACTAGCCGAGCTGTGCGAACACAACGCAGAAGTCTCCCGGAAATACGGAAAATATAATGTAAGAAATATCAGTGATGTTAGTGAACCTTCAATGATTATTAGCAATCCCTAAAGATGAAGATCAATTTTATATCAATTAATTTTATTTGTTGTACTTTCAGGCTACCACACTATGGAACTTCATTAAACTCTTCTATGGCACCAAACACTTTGAGCCGCCCTTCGAGCATCGCTCCTCGTTCTCCAATCAAAAGAATCCCATTACCTCACGTCGTGCTGCACAAGTGGCCAGCGATTGGACGCCACACGATCAGGGTCAGGAGATGAATGGGAATAGCCAAGAGGCACAGCTGGAGGCAGTCGATGCCAATGAGGATAGAGATGAGCTGGCTGTCGGTGGCAAACAAAATCCGCCGCCAACCAGTTCGGTGATACTCTCTGAAACGCAAATCATTAGTGAGATTACGTTTGACAACTTTGAGCTGTTGCGCAATGGGTTTATTTATGTCGGACCCGCGGACCTAACAAAAGCTCTGGCATTACCGGACACGGCGTTGCATCATGATGTACAAGCAGTTCGTTCACAGCTGGATCTCAAGGCATCCGAACATGAAAAGTCTCCGGTGAGAAAGGAATTTCTCGTCGATTGGAAACCTTAATAAATATTTTTCTCAATTTGTTAGCCACCCCAAGTTCCGAGCATATTGAAGGTGAGCCATGTGCCCCCCATACCCATGTGGGAGCCACATCAATTCGTGGTAGATGCCCTCATGCTGCAGAACGATGTGGGCGATGTGCAAACCGCTCTGACCATATTAATTGTTATGGGCGAAGCACGCCAGCTGCTGCCCATTGAAGATGTCGTGGTGGTAAGTCTGTCAAGTGAGTTAGTTGTGTTCGCATTCAGCATCAATTTATAATTACTATCTGATAGGAGCACTGGTTTCACACCTACGTGGATCAGTTGCATCGCTACGAGCTCTGGAACGAGGCCTGTGAGGTGATCAATCGCGCCTGGGTGCGCTCTGTGCGCCAATTGAACCAACAGTCAACGGTCATGCCAACCAACTGCGGCGAATGTGGCCGACCGCTGGGCGGCGCTGTGGGCTGGTACTGTGACAAATGCAAGTCTATGCAGTCGGCTAAGTGCACCGTCTGTAATCTAATTGTGCGTGGCGTGTATGCTTGGTGTCAGGGCTGCTCCCATGGCGGTCATATCGACCATTTGCAGCAGTACTTTGCCAAGCACTCGAAGTGCCCCAAGTGTGGACACTTGTGTGCATTTTCCTGACACCCAGACGAGCCCTACGCTTAAACCGAATTGTCAGCGCAGCTAAAGTTGCGCTGGAGGAGTGTTCAAATGTGATGATAAAATTAAACATAATATTTTACAAATAGTGCCCAAACGTTGTCTAGCAGCAAATATTGTTTAGGTCCCGTCAATCATTTAAAGAATTGTACATAAAACGCTGTTGGCATTAGTTGTTTATTTTTAATTATATTTATATATACTTTTTGTAAAAAATGATGGCTATTTGATGAACGTGCTCTTGAAGGGCATTATAACAACGACCTTATTATATTTAAACAAAAAACGGGCGCCGCCCACATTCAGTAGCAAAAAGGAGAGAAAAAATTGTAAAATTGTGAGTTCTGTAAGAATTTGAAAAATATATTGAGCACAACCAATTACGGTTGTCTAAGCCATGTATTAACTACTTGTATGCCATTGTGGTGTAAACCACAATGACACCACCGCCTGCCAGCGCTGTCCAAAAATCCACGCGCCAAGCGCAATGAAATTTTTGCAATTGCTAATGGTCAAATAAATGCAACAAATGGAGAAATTGATAGCTTTTATGGATGTTTCCATTTGATGATGTGTTTACATTGCGCCTCGCGCAGTTCGTTGCTTTAGATGGGTGATGATCTATAGCTTGGATTTTGGAGCAGCGTTGGCGGCTAATTGTCAAGAGGCAAAATCGAGGCTCACAGTTTGGTACGCATCGCCTGCCGCGCCAGTGGCAGCCGATGTGGAGTTACGCTTTAATGTTGGCGTATCCTCGTCGTAGCGTATGGTCATAGAATTTGAGTTGCCGGGTATGAGAACATAGCCCAGAGATTCATAGAATTTGATGAGCTTGTCCTTGCAGTCGAGCGACATTTTGTAGCAGCCAAGGTATTCGGCTAGCAGCGACACGGTAACAACAATGCTGTCGACGAAACGGAAGTTATAGCAGAAGTACATATAAACACTTTAATGTTGCTCAACTCACAGCTTGCCCAGCTGCTTGCCACGATACGTGTCATTCACCACTACATCCTCAAGACGTCCGCGCTGCAATTAGAGGTAGTATGTATTCCCTGATATTTCAGATAGATCTTCCACCTACCACTGCACAATTGTGTATAAACTTGCGCTCAATGATGAGCGAGGCAGCACCAATTATCTCGCCCTTCCGTGTATCCTCAATGACCGTCACATAGTAATCACCGCTGGCCTTCATCTGCGAGAAGCGTGCTGAGAATCGACGCATTAAGAACTGTTGCAGTCCGTTGGAAAGACATTCACTTACTCAGAAATTGTGTGCGTGTTATATTGCCCACATTCGTGAGCTGAGAGAGTAGCTGCAGAAAGCCGCGATCATAGTCCGTATCCTTTAATGGGCGCACCCGCAGCCACGACTCTCCCGGATTGGCAGCCGAGATGAAAGGCTGAAATTTAGCTGGGCTGCGATGAAAGTCAAGCTTCAGCAGCACGTTCGGATCGTACAGATACGTCTCTTGCTGCAATCAGTTAGTGAATGCCGATTATTAATTAGTATATATATGTTGTAATGGCATTTGATTAAATGTCTACCGTATATTGCACCATTTTGCGTCGTCTACTAAAAAGACCAACGTCAGCACTTGATAAGCTAACACACAGTCAGAAAATAGCTAGGAAGAATGGTAACTGCCAACTGGTTTCATAAATTGCTGTCGTTTTCGTTGGTCGTTGGCTGGACTGGTTTTTGCCCAACACGTTTTCGAAACGTTACCGCAAACCGGTAAAATGTGTAGTCTTTCTTATACACTATCATTGAAGGAATCGGGTACTTGTCATGGACACAAACAGCCGAGCCTGTCAGCCTGCATCAATGCTTAGCAGTCTGACAGTTTGCGAGAGTAAAAAGAAGAAGCAGATAATCGAAAGGCCTATGATAAGACCTACTACATACATTCACACACACATGTTCACATGTTTGTTATTGTCCGTTGGAGAAAGTCTTCAAGTGCGTATAGTTTTAAAGACCCTTGCTAACACTTAATGAATACATACATATGTACATATGTATGTAAGAAAGTATGTAGTGATTTTTTCAATTATTTTGTATAAATATAAATGTTTATATATACATTTAAATTTAAAAAATGATATCTTTCAGTGTATTTAATCTTCGCCTAACCGAGTACAATCGATCTGTCTAGTTATTGATTGAGGTGTGTGTGTTTCTTTTGCTATGAACAGGATTACATTAGCAAAACAATTCAAGGTCGTATCGGGCTGTTGTGTGAATGGCCGCCCCATGGTCACGTTTTTGTTGGCTAATGCAAATTTGTCTAGTTGGCAATTTCTTATGTATGCTAAAAATACGCACCATTTTTACTTATCAGTTATTTACGTATGATATATAGATAAAAATAATAATACAGCAGCTGCGATGTAACGTTGAGGCGGAAGTTTTTTCCGCTGTTTTATCAACAACTATCAGGAACCAAAGTTAGAGTGAGACTGAAGCGGCATTCGAGTGGTGCAAAGCGAAAGAAAATTGCGAACCGTTTACCGCTCACACGGCTTTGTTTGGCTGTCGTGAAATGCCATATGTATGTTGAAATCGAAGCACCTTTCAATACCTAAAATGTAAAACCGAATTGTAAAAAGCACCTGTAACTGTATATTAACAGACGAAAACCAAAACAATCGGCCCTAAAAGTCAGTGCAATTGTAAACATTTAAACAGCTGATTTAAGAGAGGAGAATTGCCCGGACAGAGAGAGAAATTGAGAGAGAATGAATTAAAACGTGCATTTATTTTAAATGCTCAATATTCTACAATTAACAGATTTTTGTTTTTATGTAGCTACAATATACTTGGGTGTTTTGTACATTTCGTAGGCGAATTCCTCTTGATGGCTGGGATCATACTCCAATCCCACATAGTCAATTTCCAAACCAAATGGCCCATCCATGCCTTTTTTGGCTGCCACAGAGAAGCCAAAGTGAGTTACACAATCCAGACGTATTGCATTCTGACGATCCTGTACACGACCCTTGGAGGATAGAAAAAACTTGGAGAAGGGTATCTTTGCTATTTGCCAGTGAGGGCCACCGCGTGTATAAAGTACATAGTGATATATATCGTTCCACATGAGATCGAAATAGCCCTCTGTGTGTAAATTAATTAGATAGCTACGTCCGTCGCCGCGCACCTTCATAATCAACATGTTGTACTGAGTCCAGTCGTATGTGGACTCTCGCTTAAATGATTTCTATTAGGAAATAGACTTGCAATTAGAAATTAATCCTGCAGTGACTTATTAATCTTTACTGACCCGCACACGCTTAGTGCGTATATTCGCATAGCCGGTGCGCTTGATGATGCCATCCTTGGTATGCTGAGAACTGACCTCGCCGTGGAAGAGTCCGGCCCCTGAAGCACTTAGCTCCAATGTGGCTCTGCTTTTGCCTTCACCATGATCCGCATCTGTTGTCACTGTCCATTTATCGAGTACGTCCGGTGCTTTGAAATCGAACACTATATCCGTTTCTCCGGGTCGAAATACTAGAATTGGATCGCTTTCGAGTTTTTCTTTTACTTCCTGACGCCATAGCTTGATTTCCTTTTTTAAGTCTCGTAGTCCATCAATTATAAGCTGCTTTTTTGATGGCTCCGGTAGTTTTGTTTTGTAGCCAGATTTCTTCTCTCGCTCCCAAAACGTGCGCTGCACTGCGGTTGTATGAATTTGCGCTGCTGGGAGCCAGCAACTTAAACGTTGCGTTTGTCTGACTAGGCAGTGCATATTAACATATTTTGTTAAATAAAATAACAATTAAATAAGCGGCACCAAGAACCTCAACGTAACAATTATCAGCTGTGCATTTTTTTGTATTCTCATCATTGCGGCAGCAGCAATGCTCCACAGATGTTTGTGAATGGCATTGCAATCAAAATTGCAGACCCTTCGCTGTGAATGGCACAACTGGATTGTTCTTGTTATTAATGCTGTTGACAGTGCAAAGTTCTTCGAGTTGGACATAATAATTTAGTATGAGGTCAGACCAAGTTGAAAAATGTGCACCAAGCAGTGAATGGAATGTGCTGTACTGGATACTTGGGAGCATCCTAATGCCTGTGGCTTTGCCACTGGCCTTCATTAATTTATGGCAACGCTTTCGCGTCCAGAAGTACCGAAACCAATTACCCGGCAAAGTAGAAGACAATAAATCTAGTTTCAAATTGTTTTATACTAAATTTGGTATCAAATTCTTCTAGGTTGTGCTGATAACTGGCGCCAGTTCTGGCTTGGGGGAGTCCCTTGCGCACGTCTTTTATAAAGCGGGCTGTAAGATTATCTTAGCTGCCCGTCGGGTTGAAGAGCTGGAGCGCGTAAAGAAGGATCTAATGAAACTGGACGTTGTAAGTTATGTCTTCTACTTTTATTGAAATATTCATATTGATATAAATAGATACTTGCAGGATCCCGCATACCCGCCCACCGTTCTGGCCTTGGATCTATCTGAACTTAATTCTATGCCAGATTTTGTTAAACGCGCTTTGGGTGTTTACAACCAAGTCGATATCTTGATAAATAATGGTGGCATTAGTGTACGCGCAGATGTTGCCACCACAGCTATTGACGTCGACCTAAAAGTAATGGTGGTCAATTATTTTGGCACCGTGGCATTGACAAAAGGTATTTTCCAGTAGCTTTATCTGCGATAATATTTATTATCAAACTCATCTAAAACAATGTAGCGCTGTTGCCTTCTATGGTAAAACGTCAGAGTGGTCATATATGCTTCATTAGCTCTGTGCAAGGAAAGTTTGCGATACCTCAGCGAGCAGCTTATTCCGCCTCCAAACATGCACTGCAAGCATTCGCCGATGCGCTGCGTGCTGAGGTGGCCAATAAGAATGTGTACGTTTCCTGTGTCAGTCCTGGTTACATACGCACACAGCTCTCGATGAATGCCCTGACAGGAGCGGGCACTAACTATGGCAGTAAGTATAATCGTTATTCATAAGTCAGCTGCTAGTTAATTCATTTGCATTTCATTGCTTTTAGAAATGGATGAAACTACGGCCAAGGGTATGTCACCCGATAAGTTAGCGGAACGCATATTACAATGCATTATGCGTAAGGAACCCGATATAATTGTCAGCGATGTCCAGGCTAAAATTGCCTACTACTTACGTCATTTGTTGCCCTCTCTCTATTTTTGGATTATGGCTAAACGGGCCTCAAAATTGGAAAAGTCTGAGAAAAAAGCTAATTAAGTAAATGTGTTTCGTTTCTGTAAGTTTAGTTTCATTTTTTTATTGTTATTTTAATTTTGCTTGAAATGGGAAATTATAAAAAAATATTGCAACAGTGTGCAGTTTAAAAAAATTAGTTACAATTTGCATTAACATTTAATGATAAGATTAATAAATTAAATAATTACTGCATTCATACCATTATTATTATTAAGTAAAACTTAAGTGTCACACATTTGCTCTCTGTCTCTCTGTTAGCAACTTATATTATTTAAGAATTATTGTACTTAAATTATGCTTGCTTTTGCTTTACGGCTTTCGATTTACGCGTTATTTAATTGACGACAGACATACTTTTCGTACTTGATACGTTCTTTGACAACATTTAAAACTTTGTTATTTAACTAGGGGTTTGGTTCTCTACGAGTGTTTCTTGGAGTATGTGTATTTTAAATTCATTTAGCTAAATTATAAAAAATAGTTATTATCAAACCAGTGAAGTGGGTGCAAACCCTTTATCAAAAGGAATACACAAATGAAATTAATTACAATTGAGGTACACACACAGATTTCAAAATCGTTTTGCAGTTTTACGACTAAATTATTTATGTATATATATATATATATATATATATATGTATATATATATGCATATATATATAGTTTAAAATCAATAAATTTCTTATGTACAATACACAAAAATGGTTCATTTCGCGCTAAAATAGTCTTTCTGTCACGCTCAAAATACTTTCAGCTTAGATAATAATTATTTGCATTTTTTATATACAATACATAAACATTGGCAATTTTTTTTTTAATTTTTGTATTTTTTTGGTAAATTTTATGATTTTGCCGAGATACCTTAATGTTATAAAATAATCAGCGCGTTGTATACTTTCATATTTAAATAGTTATCAATAGGTGTTCGTGTGAGATTTTCATGGGTTTTTTCGTTAAGATAAACTTAATACTATATTTCGATTTATGTTACTTTTAATTTTCTTAATAAGCATTTCAAAGCGATTGTCGCGTAATTTTGTTTTTCCGTTTCATGACTTGCCTACGCGTTTACGTTAACTGTCTTTACTTCCACTTGTTTCGGGTTGATCATTTGAGCTGAGCTTATGACTGACTACCTATTAATGTGTTGTATATTCCAAAAAAATATACCATATACCCATGTGCTCAGTGCACGCCCCCATCTATGAGTACTTTGTCCAGCCAATGCGTTAATGCAAATACATATCAGAACTATACGCAATTTAAAATACGACGAGCTTTCAACACATTACTTACATACATATGTAAATATCTAGGGATTATTCCAATTAGCTTAGACTATAAAACGCTAGTTATTTGAGGCTCTCTTTCTATATCTCCGCAAGCCGTCTGCTTTCCTTTGTGATTTGATACGCTACGTGACTATCGTATGTAATGAATATCGGTTAGGTGCTTTGTTCTTTATTGCTTTCTAATCTTTTATCGTTTGCATATAAAAACTATTTGTCTTTCGATTTTATTTCCTATATACACTACTTCTAAGAATGCGCAGGCAATAGTGTGTGTGTGTGGATGTGCGGATGTGGGGAGAACTGCAGAGTGGAGAACTGTTTAAACTGCTTTTTATTAAGTTTCATTTGATTCTGTTGCGACTACTAATTACTACAATTCGATGCATTTGACTTTTGATTTATTGACAGTTATCGTTGGTTATAATTGTTACTAATATCATTTATGCATATTATTTGCAACTTTCCCGGGCTAACCACTTGGCTACACTCGTCCCATCTCAACTACAAATCTTATAATCATTTTTGATCTTCTTGGAAAGTATTCATAAGAGTATTCATTTGTTTTGTTTTAAAATGTTCTTGGTTAAATTTTCGTTTATGTTTGTTTTATACATTCCTTACTAAAATAGCACCTTATATTGTTTTTCTGTGTGTCGAAGTTTATATAGACAATGGTCGTTTTTCGAAACGTAGAGAACATGATTTAAGAAAATAAAGATATGTCATATGTAAAGATAGCATAATACTGTGTAGGAATTCATATAAAACAGAGATAAATACAATAACAGTTTGAAACTGTGTAGCGATCGAGTTTCGTTGTATCGATGTACATATGTATGTAGTATATATAGATAGATATCTAGATTAGTTTTTCATCGGTCTATTGCAATAATTATTATTTGTTTGCTGTACAAAAATAGCTTAGCCTAGGCCGATTTCATGACGGTTTTCTTTGTTTTTCAAAGCTAATAAAACTCTAATTGTGGAACGTTAGTATAAATTGCAAATTAGTTAGGATATTGTTGTTTCATACATACAATACGATCGATCGTATTACGACAACTGAACACAATTCACATAGGTATAGACAAAAGTACAGAGTTACAAGTTACAGTTACGTAGATCACGAATACAATACAACAGTAAATACAGTTAAATAGTATGTAGTAAAAGGTACAATGTGCGGTGAGTGCATCTGGCTTCGGCGGTGGCATTGGCGTTGGTGTTGGTGTTAGGTGTTAGTATTAAGTGTTGGGTGTGTCAGGTGAATATTCAATGGTATCGATTTGTGTGTTAGTGAAGCCATAAGCACGAGCGTTGTTAGCATTTGTATACCCTTGCAGTACGGATCATAGTTCTATATGTACACATAGCGTAAAGAAGAAGACGCATAAATATCTACTACCAATCACTGGAGCTTTTTGTTTTTAAGTCCAGATTATGTCTATATATCTATAGATATAACTGAGTAAAAATCGTATTTAGCTTAATAACTCTCTGATAACACATGCATCTTATATACTCGTATTTGCTATATAATATATCGTTTTATCTGCAAGAATATTTAAAATTCGGCATTCCGAATATATGTAACTATTTTTTTTTGCTTGATTAATGCGGGATTCGTGGTCGGTTTGGTATGTGTGGAGGGGCGTGGCGTTCACATATTCAGCAGAAACGGCAAGTTTAAGGCAGTGTAAAGTACATATATGTATGTATTTATGTATATATATACAAATCTAAATTTATATATATATGCATGTAAACCTATGCGACAATTTGTATAACTAACTTTAGGACTTATCACTTTCACTGGGTTGCTTTGAAATGGATACGAGCAACTGCGCTGCTCTTAGCTAACCAGGTTTTCAATGTCAGAGACAACCACCTCCAGATCCGATGGTAACTCGTTGTCCAGCGTTGTTGGTGGAGGTACAACAGCAGCAACAGCAGCGGCAGCGGCAGCTGTTGTCGCATTGGAACGCGCTCGGAAATTGTTTAGACTGCGTCGCATCGGCTGCGTCGCCTGCCGTTGACTGGGCATGGCGCTTGTGGAGGCGGATTGTTGTAGAGGGAGGGAGGATGGCAGCGGTAGCGCCGGTGCCATTCCGCTAGACGTTGTTGTCGCTGTGCTTGTAGACGACTGACGTGAAAAGCTCGGCGCCGTCACCGGCAACGCTGCGGAGACACTGCTCTGGCTCTGGCCATTGAGGCTGGCGCGTGGAATGTTGCTGAAGCTGTTGCGTGTATTGCGCGTAGGCGGGACCGGAGCTGCCTGGGGCGTTGCATTGGAGGTGCTGCTATTTCTGCGCAGATTTGCGTTGGAAGAGGAGCGACGTTGCGGCGCTGCGGCTGCAGGGGCTGCCACAGCTGCAAGCGCTGTGGGCGGATCTTTGCCGTTTTTGGCTGCGCTCGCTTTCAGATTCAGACTGCTGCGCTTCTTGGACTTAGCCATGTTCTGGCTGAGATTTATCAGATTTTGCGTGCTACCAAAGTTACGCGTCAGATTTATTGATCCGCCGGCGGGTTGTGACTCATGCTTGGCCGTTTTGCTGCTGCTACGTCGCGGCGCTACAGCGAATGGATTATGCGTGGATAGCGAATTGGAGCGCCGATAAGAGTTGCGCTGCGACGCAGGCGCAGCTGCAGCCTCTAGGCTAGCACGATTGGAAGAACTAGGCGCTATCTTGCCAGCAGCACTACTACTGCTGCCAGGCTTGCTTGTGGCGGCAGGCTCAGCGGCTGCACTGGCTGCGGGCAGCTCCCCGTTCTCATAGCAATGCTCTGTGCTGCGCGGGGGCGGCTTTAGTGTCTCGTAGTTGGGCTCGCTTACCGTCAGTATTTGATTATCGTCATCCGCTTCGTTGCACAGCAGCAAGGCAGTGCGCTTGGTACGCTCTGTGTAGGGGGCCTTGGATGTTGTGGCCGCCTGCCCGCTGGAGCGTGTGTTTTGAGCCTTCTGCGCACGTTTTGGACGCGCGCCAGCGCTTACGCCCACCACGTGCGTCTTTACCTTCGGCTTTTTGGACAGACGCAGCGAGAACTTGAACGGCGGCTTGTAGACGACTTGCAGTTTCACCTTCTCATTTGAGAGATTGCCCATGGACTTGGTCTTCTGCGGAGTCTTCTGCACCAGCCGCTCGGGCGTTGACTGTGATTTGCTCATCACCTTGTGCACACGCGAGCTATGATCTATGTGCGACAGTGGCTGTGCCACAATCGGTGATTCCAACAGCCAGCGCTGCACTTTGCCAAAGGTGTTCATGTGATTGTTAGTGGTTGACAGATTTGAGGCATCATCGGCGCCGGCTGCATTGTTGTTGCGATGCGAGTAGTCGATGATTTCCTTCATATGCTTGCCCAGCTTTTTGGACTTTTTGGTTGTCTCCTCCTCAGCGGCACTTGACTTCAGCTTCTTTTTGGTCACCGCCTGCGTTCGGCTCGGTTTCTTTGGCTCCACATTCCCGCTGCCCTTGGTTGCCGCACTACTACGTACTCCTGCTGCTGTTGTTGCTCCTGTTGCTAAGCCGATTCCTGACTTCTTGCTGCGTTCGCCACGAACTTTTTTCTTGAATGGCACCTTAGTGCGCACGGCAGTGTGTACTATAACGCCGTTGTTGTTCTCCGGCAGACGCACTGTTTCCGTGGTGGCACTGTGTATGATGGTCACTGACTTAAGCTTCAGATTCGAGCGTTTCGCCAGCAGCTTTGTGCTCATGACCTGTGGCAAGAATATAATAAATTATTATATTTATGGTAAATAAAACTGGGTGGTTGGGTTGCGTATGAGTGCATGAAATAAAGCATAAATTGGCTCTACATAAGCTATTGAGATCAATGGCCAATGAACTGAGCTCTACGGGGTTCAGTTTCAGGTACATTGCTGGCCTCACCATCGCCCAAGGCCTGCGTTTTGGCCTCATACTGATCCCTCAGCATACTTGTGACCACACGCATTAACTTGTCAAACAAAAACGTATTAAACATAACAAAACATAATTTTTCTTCGGGTTTCCGAATATGAAAGAAAATTGAGATTCATCACATACCAGTAATAAGAAGACGCCAATAGCGGCCAGAGCTACAGTGTACCAATGATTCTGCACCCACTTCTTGAAGGTAGCAATACTCTCCTCGGAGAGCAGCAGTTTACGCAGCGTGGCTAATGGACCCGAGGGGTCCACTTCACGGCATTTTTGGAAGACATCACAGTAGCTGTCGAAGACGATGAGATTAGTAAATAATAACATTATTGGAATGCCATAAAATACCCATTGTAATCATTGCAGGGCGTGCCCGGTTTGGAGTACATATCGGGCACATCGAAAGGCGCCTCGTTCCACTCAAATGAGCTGCGACAGGGATTATCTTCACCAGGCAGCTTGCAGCATAGTTCGCAGGATTTGATACGATCATCCTGTGGACCTGGTATGCACTGGCACGACTCTAGACCGTAAGCCAAGCAAATGCTGCCCGTACAATCACCCATGTAACATACAAACTCCTTGTTGCAAATCGTTTTGTTGGGCTTGTTCACCGATGGCGGGCACTGGGGTACGCGTCCGTCGCAGAACGAGGGATCCCGGCAGCCATTGTCATCGCGACACTTGTCGCCGAATTTCACCTTGCAATCGGTGGTGCAGCAGGGTCCCTGCGAAGGACTACAGCGTGCATGCGGCGTTAGTGTGCACGGCGTTTCATCCAAATGCGGCTGCCGGGACATGGGAAAACAGCACGAATCCTTGCAGTCCTCCTCCCAGCCGCAGTCGCATTGTTCGCCCGGCTCGACTACACCATTACCGCAAATGGATGACTGGGGCTCCGTGAAGCAGCCCTTCATCGAACGCGCTTTGGCGTTCAGCACGGGCTCAATGGATTTCAAGGAGCAGGCACTGAATTTATTGTTATTCTTCTTATCCCCCGAAGTGGCACGTGCGAACATTATAAAGTTTCCATCCTCGCCGCCTGGCGTGCACTGCTCCGGATCGTGCTGTCGATGGGTAAGAGACTTTGTTAGTTATACATATTTTATATATACTAAAGGATTTAATTACGGGAGAGCCAAAGTTATGGCCAATCTCGTGAGCTAGCGTAACATGCGAAACGGCGGGCGGCACATGTTTTCCATAATTGAGGAGCGTTACAATGCCTGTGTTTAAGGATTTAAGGGAACCGCGATAGTGCCCGTTCTTTTCGCAAACACCACCCGCATTTTTCAGATCGCCCGTCCAAGCTAGACCCAGTGTGCCCATCTCAAAGTCGCGGTATGTGAACATGTAGGCCAGGCAGAAGGCATCGTAATCCTCCTCTGTAATTGAAAGTAAGGATATTATAAGGAAACCGCAAAATATAGTTAATTGCTGACCTGAGAACAATTCCAAGAATTTTTCCACACCATAGTTGCCGGGAAATCTATAACTAGGATCCTTCATGGCGTTCATGTTGTGCACTTTAATACGCTTTATCATAAACGTAATGTTGTCGGGCTTTCCGTCGTTATTGAAATCCGTATTACGGTAAATGGAATTGGCACGCTGAACGTGGCGTGTGATGGCCTCGATGGAGGCCTCATCGCTGCCCATTTTCTGGAAGAACGTGTGATCTGCCTGCAAATAGAGCATGCAAGTTGTCTTGCGATCATATAGCAGGCGCGGAGCGTTGTGTATATCATCGCCTCGCCCACTCAACAGATTCGTCATCAACATGCTATTAAAACTGGGATTGTGTGGATTGGGTGCAAATATAATCTCCGGATTGTAGTTGTTCACAATGATGTTCGGTTTCTTAGTGGCACCATTTTTGGTAATGATCTCCACGTGTGTCTTGTGGCTGGGTCGATCGTTGTTGCCCATTGAAAGTGTTGTCCAATTTGCATTGAAAAAGTTATTTGGCAGGCTGTTGTTATTGTTGGCATTGGGCTCCTCATAGGGTGTACCGAATTCCGGTTCTATGGGTCGATTGAAGGTGCTAACGATAATATTTTTGTGTTTCGTGTACAATTTTCGTACATTGTTGTTGCTGTTGCTATTAGTATTGGTATTGCTGTTGTAGCTGCGACTGGTGTCGCCAACATTGGAGGGATTATAGTTATTTACAAGTATGTTGCGATTGGGCGTAGGTTTCGTTAGCGTGGCCAGAAAACTTTCTGTGCTGCGCATGGTTGATGTTGTGGACTTTTTAGCTTCCTCGTCGCTACGATCCTCTTCAGAGGCGAGCACACGAAAGTCATCATTGTAGGGCACTTCTAAATCCAACGGCAGCGGGGGATTGCGATTATAATTTGGTACTGTGACATGCTATGGTTGAAAATTAAAGCGTTAGTAAAATATTTAAATATAAATATAAATATATTGTATTGTATTTCTTATTTATTTACCTCCTCTTCGGGCAGCCACCGTTTACGTCTCAATCGCTCACTGGCGCAGTGCGTCTTGACAGGCGCCTGGGAGGATATGCCACTGGCAAATGAGTTCTGATGCTGCATATTTACATCGCTCAGCTTATAAACTATGCTGTGTACGCCACTCTCCGCCAGCTGCTGTGAATATCTCTGCGCTGGCTCTATATAATAGTGCTCCGCTTGCGTCTCAATGGTACCATCTAGGAGATTATCACTTGTGAGTATCGCCTGAACATGGGCTTGTTCATCGTCCTCCAGGCTGCCCGTGTAAATGCGTGAGACATCGTAATCGATGGCCCCCAATGTATTCTCAATTTGAACATCATGCGCAAACACCGAATTGGGTTGCTGACGCAGCACCAGCAGGAAGTCTCTGTAAACACAATGAATCAGTTTGTGTGCAAAAAATGAGGTGCAGTATCAACCCACGCACGTACCTGTCATGTGCAGAGAAATTCAGGCGAATTGTGTGCGCCAGTCCCACAGGTGAACCACTTGAGGGCTCAACTTGCCGTTTTCGACGTGCGCGTGCTTGCTCCAAATGGCGCAGCTGCGCTGCCTGCAGCACGGCACGATCAAAGTTCGCCGCCTCCCAGTGCTTGATATATGGCGTCAGTTTATGTGTGTAGCCTAAATAAGAGCGTAGGTTAGCCAAACAGTGGTTAGAGAAAGTTCAATTTGTGGCCTCACCTGGTAGCTTGAGCGGCGTTGGGATTGCTAGCAGCTCGCTGATGGTCAACAGCAACGCCAGGAGCGCCAGCAGCCAGCCCATGCTTGCTCTAACTCTGTGTATATGTGTGCTGTAAAATCTATGTTCGTGTGTGTGTTTGTGTGTGAGTGTCTGTGGAAACCCAACTAGTTCTAGGCTGCGTTTGCTGGTTTCGATTCACCTTTGTTAGCCCGTCGTTTCTTACATTATTGCAGCAGTTGTTGCTTTGCCAATAAGAATTGCCAAACTGAAAAAATCCGTTACAGCCGCAACGCAAACAACATGCGACATCTCACGCGTAGCTGCTGCAAGAGAATGAGCAAAACACATATAAATAAGATTATTGCAATAACGGTAGACCGAGCAGCGCACAAAGAAATTGCACTTTTATAAATACGAATTCATACAAAATATCACATACAGCATCCACTTGAGCAAAAGCAAACAACAATATAATAATACAACAACAAATCTTGCTTTCACCTTTTGCAGCGAGTTCGTTAGCTGGCGAAATTCGTAACTGATCAAAACAATAAAATATGTATGTACATCTTTTGTTCAAAATTTACGTATATGTTTTGCATAAATGGCAAAAGCAACAAAACAGCTGGCAAGAAGAAGCACAGCATCAACATTCAGGCATCAGCATCTCATTAGCACTTTGTTCGCACACACACACGCGCACACCTTTATACACGAACATGTTAAGCGTTGTGCTTGTGTTTGTGTGTGCCCGTGAAAATTACTGTTAGTTTTTTTTGCACACATTTATATTTGGTCATTAAATGTATTGCATTCTTTGACACTATTGACAACCGTTAAATTGAATAATAATCCTTTACTGTGTATATTTGTTTGCTTGTGTATGTGGTTGTGTGTATTCTTGGAGTGAACCAAAATTCTACTCGTTGCCGTTGTTGTTAAGTAGCCAAAATAAAATACGTAAAATTCAATTAGCCAGTGTGAAAGGGGTTATTTTTCTGCACATAACAATTGTTGCACTTTTTCGATTTGGTAATTGGATTTAGCTAACTCACAGGCAAAATATTAAAGCAACTACAAAAGCACACGAACACACACACACGCACATAAACACAAACACACATACGCAAAACAATCGACCTCCGCTCGCTGTTGTATTGCCATTAACGCTGTGGCGTAAATGGTAAGCCAGCCAAGTTTTTTTCTGGCCTAAACCTGTTCTCTGGCTTATTCACAGGCCCAAAATAAATTTTGGGTTCTTTATGTTGTGTGCATTTTATTAAGATGGTATTTTCAATTCACAAAACTCACTCTTTAATTAATTTAACGTTTTCATTTTAATGCAAATAATTTAAAAACAATTATTTTATTTCTCCCCACATAAAAAAACGGCTGCAGGTAACAAGTATCGATACTCTCTGAGCGCAGCCTACCAACATACCCGATTACAAATGTTGTGTATGTGTTTGTCAACAATAGCAATAGGAATCAGTTATCGATATATAAAACTGCTGATTTTTGTATGTGATAGAATTGATGATAAACAAATAAAATTTCTGCAGGTCAACAATCAACCACTTCTTTTATTAACGTCTGTTGCTTTTGGATTCCCTTGCGTAGACTTTTAGCATTCTTTTCAAGCTTATCTTTACACGTCAATAAATTTTCCTTTTTTGCTTCTAGTGTGCCCTCCATTAAAGCCAATTTCTTAACTTTTTGGTCATATTCGTCAAACACTTGCCACCATGTCTCAAGAGTTAAGTTTTCAGGCTCTGTAAGCAGAGCGTGTTCCAAAGCAGTATTACTACTGGCATTGCCCCCTGTCGGTTGGGGAATTTCAAACGACTCAATATCCGCAAGCATTTCGTCTAGACTGGGTGCTGTGGGTGGTGGTTCTACTTTGGGCTTCGATTTTTTAAACATTGTTTGTAGAATTTCCTGCAGTAGATGTATTTGTTTTTGTTTGCTGAAAACAAAATGATAACGTCAGCATAACATTTAAACAACTTCTATTTATATATCCAATTTTACGTAGTTGATATTTACGGTTAAAACCCTGTGTACAATTGTCTTTAGATGCACATATAATTACCGTTGTTTTATTTATGAAATAAACTTAATAATAATCCAAGCGTTTGCGTTGTTTACTTGCTTACAGATTTCCAGTGCTCTACAATACTCGAAGTAATAACCAGGGCTGCATTTTGATTTATATGCAACACTAGTTTCCCGCTTTAAAGTGCACGGCACGCTCTGCTAGCAGAAATATACAAAACAGTTTGTATAAAAAAAATAAAAAAATAATAATGACAAATCGGGATGACCTTAGCTCTGCGGCCAAGCACAAACTTGTCGAAGCCGCGGCCCGTGCTAAAGTTCCACTAGACACTCTACCATATGAAAGCTACAAGTCGCCTTCTGGTGAGGAGTTTAAACTATATTGCCGCGCCAAGAGCGATATGGATGCAAAGACCCTGAAATGGACATTTAAACTGGCGGAGCAGAATGTCGGCCCATTCTACAAGCAGCTTAAAATGGGCTGGCAGCCAAAGATTAAACATTCTGAACTAAATAAGAACTGGGCGCGTTTCTTGGTGGCCCAAAATCAACAGAAGCAACCCGTGGCCTACACCATGTTTCGCTTCGACATGGACGGTGGCGACTGTGTGCTCTACTGGTAAATAATTGAGCATTGGAATATGTATCACATTAATAACACTTTCGCATTTTAGTTACGAAATACAAATTGCTCCCGAGTATCAAAGAAAGGGTCTGGGAAAGTTCATGATGCAAACGCTCGAGGCTTGTGCTAGGCTTTGGAAGTTGGAAAAAGTTGTGCTCACCGTGCTAAACAATAATTACAACTCGTTAACGTTTTTCAAAGCGCTTGGCTATACCAAGGATGAGACTTCACCAGATGTATTGGAAGAGGCTGACTATCAGATATTAAGTAAGTCCATGCTGGGCTGATTACTTTAATCATTTTAACAACAATATTTTATGTGCGGTACAAACGAAATATATATCAAACAATTATTTTAATACATTTAGCTTAGTAGCTTTGCCTGTGCCTCAAAGTATGTGGCCATGCGGATGTCTTGGCTACTTAGGCCGCCAACGTCATGGGTGCTAAGGGTAACCTGTATTTTGTTGTAGCAGTTAAACCACTCGGGATGATGATTCATTTTCTCAGCCAGCAATGCAACACCCGTCATAAAGCTGAAGGCCTGATTGAAATCCTTTAGTACAAATTCCTTGTATATAGCATCGCGTCCCTCAACCAAACTCCAGCCTCCATCCAGCAGTGGCTGCAGCTTCTCAGCGCGTTCTTGTTCAGTCAGTTTGGCCTAGGATTGGGTAAATTTGTAGAAGCAACAAGTGTTTAGTTTAGTGTGGCTCTGTTTTGCGGTCTCCACTGCCCTTGGGGGCCAGTTGCTGACCTCGCGTGGCCTCAAGCGATAAGTGCGTTCAAGCCGAGATAAATAAGGCACATTTTGTTTTCCGACTTTTGCAATATTTGGCAATAGGTTTTATTGCCCCAGATATGCATTTATTCACTTACCACCATTTTTCGTTTTTTCGCTGTTGGGGTTGATGTGAGAGGTTGGTGTTTGCTGTGAAATCTGATATGGCCAACACCAGTTGCTGCTGCTGCTGCTCTCGTTGCTGTCGTATACAGAACTGAGCTCTCATATCTGTTGCTGCTGCTGCTGCGCAATCAGAGCTTCTCAAATCTTGTCAATAATTGCAGCTTATACTCACCAATACAAGCGTTGCGACCCTTCACTCCACTGATTTACGTTCAATGTTTTTGTTGTTGCAGTCGTTGGCCAGCAAAATTTGTTTCGCTCGTTGAGCAGACTAGCAAGTTTTTGAAAGCTTCGCATATTTTGCGCATATTTATTTGTTAGTAACATTCTAAATAACTGGTTTACATATACCTAAACCGGGTATGCTGCTCACCACGAGAGCACAGCTGAGTGCAGTGTGGCCTTTGAAAATTATAAAATTTTACAGCTGATTTGAATGCAAAAAACCATTTAAACAAAATCTGGTCACACCATTCAAAAGTAATAAGTTTTTTATGTAGCGAAATTCATGTTGTCTGGCTAACTGAACACGAATGAATTGTTGTATGTTATTTAACAGCGCGCTGTTAGCTTCTTCTTCTGCAATTGACAGTTTCTTGAAAATCAAACCGTTGCTTAAATTTGAATTTAAATTTGAATATTGATATTTTGTTTATCCATTATTGATCCTTCATATGTTGTATAATTGAATGTGTATATATTGACATTGACAGACTTGTAATTGTTGTTTATTTATGCACAATATTATCTGCTTCGCCGTTGCCATAGTAATCGTAGTCCGGACTGGTTGTAGAGGTGCCCACTTTCCGACGTTCCGTTGATGTAAGGGGCTCGACGACACGCCCAGTTGTGGTCTCTGGCATCACTGTCGTAGTTTTACGCCAACGTAAGCTGTAACGACTGCGCACAAAAGGCGCCTTGGTGCCAGCGATGTCATGTCCAAAGGCTATAGATCAAATGGATTCTAAAATACATATCAAATAAAATGGATATGACTTACCCAAAGTAAAAAGGCAGCAGCAAAAAACCAAGAGAAATGCGATCTTCATTTCGACAAGTTTTCAGTAAAAACTGAGGCAATGTCTGCTGTTTACGCTGCATTTATAGGCAAAAGCAATTCAGATAATCCGATTCCCTCGGGTCTATCGCAGTGAAAGCTGGGCACAGCTCTGTTCTGCATATCCCGAGGGTCTTCCCTACCAAGTGCGTTCACCTCACATTTTTTTTTATTAATTTATTTATCTTTGATGAACACTTACTAAGCTTATTAAATTACATTATTGAACGACATATATCAAATCGAAATGCTTAAAGAAAATGGTAATAAATACGTGTATATTTCGTAAGGGGGCGGTTCCCCCAAAAAACGCCTCAATTATCCTTTGGTCTGGGGCGCTTTGGACCCGAAGGTATTGGTGGCGGCGGTACATCGGGCACATCGATATTTTTATTTTCCGACCCATTTTTGATGTCATCGAAACTGGGCGTTGCATCCAGGCTGTCCAGTGGCAAAGGCTTCACCTCCGGCTCTGGTTGTTGAACGGGCGGCGCATCAGTTGCAGGACTACGCGTCGGGTATCCTTGGCTGGGATAGTAATCGTAGGGTGGCAAGTAGTTTTCGCGCTGCCGGGCGTAGCCCGCCTGGTCATAAATGACTGGGAACTGCTGAAAGGGATAGGGTGGTAGCTGATCGTTGGGTTGATCGTTGAACTGGGATGAGAGTGGTATCAAAACAGGCGGCAATCCCCGATCATTAAGAGGTAACGGCAGCTTCTCCTTGCCCTTAAGCTCTTTGGGCCCATGCTCATCAACTGTTGGCGCTTGGGGTGCCAGCTCCTGTTGTGGTTGCGGTGGCGGCTGCTGTTCCCCAGGCAGAATGTTGGGCTGGTTAGGATCAAAGGATGCGTAAACAGGCGGATATTGCGGCGCTGTGGGCAGTGGATACGGCAGCTGCAAGGAGATAATAAGATTAACTATTTATAGTTGTAGCCGTTGCCGACACACTTACCCGCTCATTGGGCGGCAGACCTGGCACCAAAGGCTGACCAAATCTCACAATTGGCGGACTGTAGAAGCCAAAGGGATTAAATGGCCCGAATGGCGCATAGCCCGGCTCGTGTATGGTGGGTTGTATGACCGGATAGGCCCGACTCGATGTCAGATTGTCGTCCGTGGTGATGAGCGCATTGTAGACCTTGGGCTTCTTGCGCAGCCGACGCGCGCCCTGACAGCAGCTGATGCATAGCGAGAGCGCCAAGAGCAACGCCAGCAGATTGACCTGAAAGTGTGCAGGGGAGAGTGGGGAGACATTAGCTATATTTAGCTTTATTGTGGGCAAGTCCATGATTTGTCACCAAGACTATTTAACGCAGCTTAATTGATTGCCCAAGCGATCATCAATCAATGAATTGTTTACACCTTGGCCATAATTGTGTCCAATCTTTGACGGAAGTTTGGGATCTGCGGACAAGGAAGCCGGCGCTGAATGGAAGACCACAAGTTCGACGTCAGCGCACATGACTTTCAAATGCCAAAGCAGAGTAGAGAGATCGATTCGCTTCGATCTCTAAGCAACTATTGCATTCAAGAAAACGTGCTACGGCAACCACACGAACAACAACAGCAACAAATAGAACGATCTATAGACATGTGTGTTACCCATTGTTATGAATTAACTACAGTTCATTAGTTTTGAATTGAAATGTAGATTGTTCCTTTAATTGGATTACTATGGAAGCCGATCAAACCGGACGGCGGACCAACGCGATCGACATGGGCTAGAGACCATTGGAATTTTGAGCCTTTCCTTAGGCAGCTTTGTCATAGGTCCGGTTAAACGAGTTGACCACTTGGCATGGAAATGCGCCAGCCCATGAAGTTGTAACCCACACACACACACACGCACACGTGGAATGAGCTTACACACTCACACACACACACATATGCTGGGGAGTGCGATCTGTGACCGAGTTTTCGTTGATCTTGATCTTAGCATATGCACGCCCCACTCACTCCCAATTGTAATGTGCGCCGACTGTGCTCAGATTACCCTAGAGACATATCTGCTGGGCTTCCCCTTTTGGAACTGCAGCTGGTAATTGGCTTTGCTTTCCATGCATTTCACTTTGACTTTCCTTTGGCCATGGACAACAACAAAGAAGTAAACAAAAAACATTCTCCGCCCACGCACCAGCTCATGATTGCTCGCCAAGCATTACCCGATCTCCGATCTGTAGGTGCTTTCCAAAGACGATCAGAGGGCAATTTTGAACGCTTTTCCTTTTTGGCTTTGAAATGAATCCAATTGTTTGAAATTGAATCAACAAACAGCAAACAAAAAGTTATAGCAACAATTGCACAGCTCGTGCCGATCATGAGACGATCATAATGATGATGATCATGCCGTTCATGATGATGAAGTAAGTAAGTGCACTTCAATTCTCGAAATTGGGCCATGTTAAGTGCCAAAAGTCGGAGCTACAACAACAACAACATCAACAGCAACAACAGCAACAACAACAACAACTACGAAGATCGTTTGCTGCTGCACAAGTTAATGCGGTTCGCCTTTGAAGATCACGCTCTTGGCCCTGGCAGTGCTTAGGCTTAAAAGCCTAGGCTCAAAAAATAGCCGATTATCAGATATTTTTTTATGATGTGGGTGTGCCAAGTGAGCATTGGAAAACTCATAAACATTGAAGGAAAAAAGAAGTAACGTTGAACCAAGATGATCTATTGCTCTATAATGAAGTTTGAGTGGGTTTTTGTAGCATTTCACTAAATAATTGGTTGAACTTTGAGCATGCTTAAGTCTTGTTAGTAAGATTATTTAAATATGTATAGTAAAACAATTATTATTATGATCGCAAACAGGTGTGAATCGGTAGCACTCCTAAATTTGTTGTTTACGTTTAAACACGCAATTTGTTAGGCATTTAACGTAGCTTTGGTTTACGCTTGACTGTTTAATTGCTTAGTCCATAATCTTTCATTTTTTTGCAATTTACAATTTTTGGATTAAATTTTATATTGGTTCTAAAAATATGGTTTTATTTTATTAAATTTTAAGCTTAACTGGAATATAAAAGTTTAAAGACTTATTACTTATATGGATAATAATAATGGAGTCTTCTTCTTGTTTAATATATACCAATTGGACTCCAATATGACATATATTAATATCCCATAAGAAGAAAAGTTTTGCTCAATCCAATATAGTTCTCTAGACCCTGAATCAGCTAGGGTATAGTTATAGTCTATATTACATTGTAATTTTAGTCTTAGCACATTTAATTCAATTCGTATCCCATACAATATTCATTTAGTTCTGACTAAGTTCTGCCTTCAGTTGTGCCGTGTTCTAGTGCTTGTGTTTTGACTGACTATGTAGAGTTATGAATGATTTACGATTTGTGGCCGGTCCACTTATGTATCAATGTATGTGCGCACTCGCTCGCTTTGTATATATTTTGTTTTTGTATAACTAGCTTGCATTGCCAGTTTTGCATGTTAGACGCTGAGTCAGCCAACAGCGGTTGGCCCGAGTCATGGCTAAGAGATCAGAGACCAGTTCAAAGGCAATAAAATGGACACAAATGTGTAACCTTAAACCTGGCAAAAAGCAAAAAAGTGAAAGTGCTCACACGGCAAGCGCGGAATCTATAACAAATGGGGCTGTCTGTCTCTCGATCTGTCCGTCTGTCCGTCAGTCAGCCAGTCGGTTAATCTGTCGCAATGTCTGCCCCAATAAACACCCATCGCCCAGTGGTTAGCATTTACCTTAAAGCTGTGCATTGTTTTCTGCCTTTTTGGTATGCAAGTTGAGTTCTGAGCGTGTTCGCAGGAAGCTCAGGAAATGTCCAAAAAATTAACACATAAATCGTCAACTGCACTCGGGATTTTCTGATTTACTTTATGTTTTTTTTTCTTTCCTTTTTTCTCGTCTTGACTTTTGTTTACTTTTATTTTTGTTGAGTTTTCGTTTTTTAACTTTTAAAATGCACAATTTGCGGACGTCGCACGACACGTTGTGACTTTATTAAAAACAAGTTGCTATAAATTATATTGCAATATATACTACGTGTGTATATAATTCACTTATGTCTGTGCACAGCAGCAACTAAATGCAACGCGAACTATAACGGAGCTCTTTAGCATGGGATCTCACGAGTCGCAACTGTCGGTCGGCTGCGCACGCGCGTTTCTTATTGGATTTTGAGCGAGCACTGGGCGGTCTTCTACCTTTTATACCTTCGACGACGGCAGCGACGTCGACGCCAACGTCAAATGCTGCGCAGTTGCCGCGCTGTTGTCGGCTTCGGCTTTGCGGAGCTTTATGACTCGCTGCAGGAACTTCATTTGCAATTTGGCCCAGATTCGAGCATCCAGCTGGAGGTTATCGCAGTTCACTCGTGCAGCACAGCAGGAGGAAGTGTCCTTAATCTGAAGAACGTTAAGATATATAGTCGAGTTGTTGGTTTTCTCTTCAGGTCCAGAGTTTGGCTAGAGGTGAAATTCTTGTGGTAATTTAAGTCGAGTCTCAAGAACATATTTTTATGTCCTTTCGAATTTATATGTTTGACCCGTTAACAGGCAAAATAAAAGTAGGCTATTAAGTTGGCTTTCTAAAAGATTGAAGCCTTGAGGGAAAGAAGAACTTAGCTAGTAGATTTTTAAAGAGTTAGTTAATTATAATTTAATTTGTTTTATTTAAATAAAAGTTAATGTACAATAAACGAAAAACACAAACTTGGTAAAAAAAAATATTTCCACTATTTTAGTTTATTTATTGTCAATAGGCTGGCGGAGTTTTGGTTAGTTATCTTATCTCTAACGAAGTAGGGTATTAAAACCAGGTTTATCTTGCTTCTCTTGAGCTTTTGTTTAGTTTTGATTTAATTGATTTAGCAGCGCAATCAATTGGATGCAGTTAACTGAGCGAAAGTCAAGAATAATGTGCAAGAGACAGACAGAGAGAGAGCGAGAGAGAGAGAGAGAGAGAGAGAGAGACAGAGAGAGATGAAGAGTAAGAGAGTGATATAGGAGAGAGAGAAACTGTTACTTGGTCTGGTCAGCGATCGAGATTCGAGCGAGCAACGATTTCCATTCTAAGTCCATAGCCAATGCGCTTGACAGCAATAGTTTCACTTTCATCCACACAATGGGTAAGAACTGCCACGGATTGTAGCCAATGTTGTTGTTGTCGTTGCTATATTTGTTGTTGTTTACTAGTTACTACACACACACCCCACACTTTGTACCAAAAACAGCTATTAAATTGCCCCCACAACAAATCTCCAACTGCTCTGGCTGGCATGATGAATATACCCTGTAACCGTGGGTGTCGTGAGAAGAGGTATACATGATTTGATAAACCATTTGTAAATGTTATTTAAGGTGTTTATCGGACACCTTATCGGATGTTGAGATATGCATATGAATATATACATATATTCATATATTCATATTATTTTATATATACGTTTTTTATAGGGTATATTTAGTCTGCCATTTCAGTTCGCTGTTCGCTTTGCTGTAGTCACGTTCACTGGCAGAGGTGATAAGTGTCGGTCTGTCAGCTGCGCGCATATCCCAACCACCCACGCACACACACACTCCCTAATGCACACACACACTTGCGCAGACAGAGAGACGACTGGAGATGCCGACAGCTCTTGGGGTCAATCAACAATTTGTAGATTTCTTGTTTCTTTTTGTTTTTAATTTGTTGTTGCTGTTAGTTGTTTGTTGCAGTTGCTGTTGTTATTGTTGCTGATGTTGTTGTTGTCGTTGTTGTTGTTGCTTGCCTCCTGTTGCGTTTTCTTTATTGCTTGAACTTTCGCTTTCCCTTTTTACGTTTGCCGTCCGTTTGATTGGCATAATGAGTATTTGAACTTTTCGTGGCAGCCTGATCTGGCAGGTAACAGTTCATTAGATGTTGTTGCTGTTGCTGCTGTTGTTGTTGTTGCTGTTGGTGTTTCTCTCTTTGAGCCAGGTGCGTCTTATCAAGTGCCTGCTCGACCAATCAAATAAATGCTATGAATTATCTTCGTAAAGCTTTCTACAGAGAAAAAGGAAAATGCAGTGTTAATTAATAATATATTATATGAATCATTTTTGTACTCAAACTCAGTGTAAAAGACATTTAATAAAATATACATATACAGATCTTTAATTAATAAATAATAATAAGGTTTAATTAAAATAAATATTTGTAATTTATAATTTTTTTCAAAAAGTAAGCAGACACTTTAAAGATTAATATAGTTAAACATGTTAATTATTTAAATTACAGGAATACTGTTGAAACAGTAAGAAAATCATGTAAACGTAAATAGTAATACGTTATTTTCTTATGAAGTTGAATTTATAACGCCTAAAATACTAAAGTGCTCGTTGCTCACTGTACAAAGCTGACAGCTACAGTCGTGTTTATTTGAGCTTCACGGCTGTGCTACCAGATGGCGCCAAAATACATTTTTCAGACAGATGGCGGCACAGTTCCCTTTTTGAATTACATATGAATCTAGTTAGGGACAAACTTATTAGAGTATGAAAATTGAGACCTGAAGATGGCGCCACTGTTCTTTGTTATTCAGAGAATGACTGAACGTTGTCTGATTAGCAGAAGTCATATTGGAATTATTAAATTCGGGTTTTAAGAGTCTAAAAGTCTATCATGAATTCCAATTGCAGCAGATGTTGTTTGTTACGTTATCATGAACGTGTGTGTGATTGTGTGTTGTGTCGGTATTTGGAACTTGACAATTACTTGAGACACCTTTAGCCCGTTGATAAGACAATCAATGTGAGTCAGTCAATCACATTTGCTTACGCCGACCTTAGAAGGTGATCATCAGATCCATCCAGACCCTCCCAGTTAGCTATAAATACAAATGCAGACGCAGCATTAAATTGCAGTTGCAATCTTCGCCAAGTGAATCCCAGCATCTTCTCAGCTAAATCCAACATGAAACTCTTTATTCTTCTGTTGAGCTTGACTCTGGCCTTTGCCGATCACCATGAGGGTCACTCTCATGACCATGACCATGGCTCGGGCTATGTGGTGAAGACGCACGAGGATCTGGTCAGGTTCCGCAATATATGCGCCGAGCAGGTGCATGCCAGCGCCGAGGATGTGGCCAAGTATGTGAAGTGGGACTTCGCGGATGAGGAGAAGAGCCGTTGCTATCTGAAGTGCATATTCGAGCATTTTGGCCTGTTTGACGCCACGCACGGCTTCGATGTGCACAAGATCCATGAGCAGCTCGCCGGCGGCTCCCACGTGGACCACGCGGATGAAGTGCACCAGAAGATCGCCGACTGCGCGGACAACAATGCCCAAGGCAGCGATGCCTGCACATGGGCTTATCGCGGCGGCATGTGCTTCATGCGCTCCAATCTGCAGCTGGTGCAGCAGAGCGTCAAGGCCTAAGTTCCCAGACTACCAGACCAGACTACCCAGACATTACACATTTGATTTGCCAAAATAAACTTTGCATTCTCTTTATTTGATTGCCTGCATTTGCCTCTTGTACTCCCTCAGCCACTGTCCCAGGGTGCCAGCCGTGGCGCACTTGTAGGCCGCATAGGCCCACTGTGCGGGCTTCTGCTGCAGCCGGCGCTCTCTGTCGTTGCAGTACTCCACGACCAACATTAGCTCCTCGGTTTGCTGGTGCGCTGCAAAGATTTTGGCTATGCGCCTGGCATTGTAGCCCTGCTCGTCGGTCCACAGGCCCAGCTGCTCCACGAGGCATCTCAGCTGGTTGGCCCGCTGGCCCGCTGAACTCTTTTGGCAGCTCCGCTGAATGCGCTGCGTAGCCTGCGCAGTGGGCAGCTGCCAGGTGGGCGTGTCGGCAGCCCACAATGGGCCGATCAGCAGGCAGAGGCACAGGCACAGTAAACTCAGCTCCAACTGCTTCATATTGACTTATATACGGAGCACACGCATCGCTTTATATAGAGAACGGGAGAGTGTGCTTCGCTGTCGTGAAATAAACCAGTTCCGATTTCTGCCTTGACATTGACATTAGTCAAGAATTCGTGGAACTCGACGCGTACCACAATTCTAATTGCTGGCCCTCGCACGTAGCTAGAGACATCCGGACATCCAGCACTTGTTCTGTTTATGCTTTCGATTCGCCTCTAGTTTATTATGGCAATTTATAACTCTGTCATTGACTAGATAGCATCTTTATAGCGCACTACCTGCCTCATAAATTCAAGCTACTACCATAATTACCAATAGAAATTGTCACATGTGTACATAATTTTGTGACTAGCATAGTTGGAGCCGAGTCGATTCAGTGTTTGCTTGAATTACTCATCTCTTCGTTGCCCTTCTATATAACACATATGTAGAGCGCGCATTAATTGAATATTTTAGCTTGTTTCAAGTTTAGAGAAGTAATTAAAAACAAGCTTGTTCGTACTCCCCGACATAACTTACAATTTATACACTAGAATATATGTACATATATTAGATGCGCTTTGTTTCTGCTCAAAGATAATCAGTAGCTGATAAGCCTAGGGGCGTAAATAATCTCGGAATCGCAAATTGAATAAAATATTAAATTTTTGTCTGAACCGTGACTAATGCATGTATTAATATATGTTAATTAAAATACAAAAAACATATTCTGACTAGCTGCTGACAGCTGCGCATCGATGATAACCCTCAGCTATTTAGTCTGCTAATTGTCTCAACGTTTCAATTTGTATTTCAGTTTAGTTTCATTCACTTATATGCTGATTAATATCAAATATTACAATTAATATTATTATATTATGTATTGTTATACTTTATTTTTAATGTACTTGTATAAATGTATTAAAATATTTTGAAAATATAAAAAATATTTATATACTTTGCACACATGTAATTAATAAAAAACAATTATTAATTTTTAATGTACAAATCGGTAAAGCTTTACTTTATCGCTTCTTTAATTCATTGATCAGTTGCTACATTTTTATTAATTTCTTTACATTATTAAATTCCTCATCAAATTTTTTCTTATATTATAAATGATGACAGTTCCAATATTATGTGAGTTCCTATTTCTATAGCCGCCTGATTCTCCATCAAGCTATACTTTCTCATATTCATATTTGCCCGATTGCTCAATTAACTCATTATGCTTTGAATCTATTTCCCAATTCGCTCTCTTATACATAGTTCTCTTTCATGCTCATCCATAAATCTTGATTACTGCCAATTTTTTTATATACATCCTTACATCTCCTAATATTGTTAAATAACTTATTTCAGTGTTCAGTTAAATTTCCTGCATTTAGCACATATATTAGATACCCTTTCCGCTGAGCTACAATGGGGTAGTCTAAATTGCAACTGCAATTATAAGCTTGCGGCTGATTGCGCAATTCGTGGCTTTGGGCAAATTTGCCGAGTGCATTGCAATCAGACGTGAATTTCAACTTCTCTTTTTTATTATTTCCTCAGCCTTTGACTGTCGTTGTCGAAGGCGCAGAACACATAGTGGGAACAGAGAGGGAGAGGGGGGGGGTACCAGCACATAGGTGACTTTCTCCGTTGACTGTGACTACTTCATTAACAACTCGCTGTGTCGTTTTCACGCTGCAATAGATCTTTCCGCACCATTCAAGCTCAACCGGTGCATATGTCAGCCGCGTTGACAAAGCTAATTTCATTGCGACGCGCGCACCGAACCGGGCGCTACGTAAGTCCCTCAGCCTCCTCTGCCCATTGCCCCCCCTCTCCCACTCCTCATTCCCCTCTCTCGCACGGTACCACGCAAAATGCCAAACAAACACTTCACACGACCTATTCAATTATTTCTCAATTAAATGTCGTGTAAAGAAATCATCGAAAGAAATCGTCATCATCCTCTACATCCCCATCATCATCGCCACCATCGTCATCATCATCACCATCATCCCCATCACCATCATCATCAATATCGTAGCTGCTGGCGTTTGCATTGAGGGGAGCTCATCGTTAAACCCTTGACACTTTTGGCGGATCGTTCAATAGGTGGGGCTGCCATATGCTGGGGGGCGTGGTCTGTGGCGCGGGTCGCGGTACGGAGCGGTGCGGAACGTGTGCATTACAGTCAAAGGCAAAAGTGAATTCAATTTGATTTTTCATTTAGCCACGGCGAGCATAGCGAACTTTGGTTTTGGCTCGAACTAAACTAGAAAGGGATTTGCTAGAAATATAGTTTGATTGTTCATATTATAATATGATATTATATGAGCTTAGGTGAAATATAAGAACTTACGATTCTATTATAAATATATATACTATTCGATTATAAATATATTTATTATATAAATACTGTGTAATATGGTGTAAACTGGATGTCTATCTCTTTCTGGCTAATAAGACTTTCTGCTAAGACCACATGACTGGAATACTAATACTACATTATCATTATCTGTTTTTCGTAATTTATTTGATAGTTATAGCTTAATCCCTCTCTCTCTCTCTCTTGATCTCGCTTCGCACCATCTTTCAATTGTTTATCTGCCTTCCTCAATCGCTTTCTCTATGTCTCTCTAACTCTCCCCTTTTCTTCTACTCTTGCTCCCTCTGTCACCTTCTCTCTCTTCCTCACCAGCCGTCTCCCCTCTTCATATTGCCATCTCGCTCGCACTCCGCTTCGTATTATTTCACTCGCTTTGCATTTGATTGCGCCATGAAATGTTCGCTTTGGAGTTAAATGGTCTGCGAGTTGTTTCTTTTGATGCGCATTGTTTCTGTTTGACGAATGCCTTAGTTGTGTGAGGCTACTGGGGGCGTGGCAGCGGTGTCCAGTCTGAACTGTTTCCATTGTATGGCCTATGCTCCGGCCTGAGGGGCATGCCCCATTGGGTCAGTGGCAGTCGCCCATTGAAGCCGCTCTAATTGCAACTTTGAAACTCAATTGGGTGGCCCAACGGTTGCATGGAACCACTTTGCGACTTGAACACACTCACTCACCCACCCACACACACACACACACGCACTCACGCTCGCATACACTCGCCCACCAATTAAGTAAAAAATTGTTTTGCGCTTTTTCAGCTTGTTTTCCCAGCATTTGCAGAAAATGCACAGTTTACTGTATACAAAATTTCACAATTTGCGGCATCCACTCGAGGTTTTTATTCAGTTATTATATACATATATACAATATATATATATTTTTTTTTTGCACATGCTGTTGGTCAGGGCCCAGTCATAAGGTCAGCTCTACTTTGTATGCTAGGTGGGTGATGGGATGGTGGGGTGGTTGGGTGGTGCACACGTGCGGCTTTTATATTTCTTGTTGTTTTGTTTAAAGCAGCGGGAAATCTTCGCTCGGGCTGGCTGGCTCCACTCGGCCATGTTCGTGTGCAGCGGCGCGTGTGTCTGCAGTTTAGTGCGCCAAGTGCGACAGTAAAAACTTTTATGCCCCCCCTCCTGACGCCTCTCTCTCCTCCCGCAGTGGCAGTGGGCGTGGCCAGCAGGATTGGCAGCGACGACACATTGTGCTAAAAGTTCTGGCACTCCTGGCAAAGTTTGAGCAACTTTTGCACACAGCAACTGGCAGCTAAAGAAGCGCTGCAAAATGCTAGAAAATTGGAATACTTTCCAAAGTCGAAAGTTCCGGATTTTTATATAATGCGCAATACCTCTTAAAAATATGCAGACGAGCGTATTGTTGAGCGTTGCGAATGTGTGCAGAAGCTGGAGTAAAATTAGGGACAGCACACACTAGGTATATTTTTAATCAGCTTCGATGCGAGTGTTTGAGTGTTCGTCTGCCTTTCTATATGAACTCTGAGATCCTAAGAGCTATAGGCCTGAAATTTTGTATATAGGTCATTAATTTCACGTATATATTTATTTTATATCGGGTTTTGGTTTAATGGTGGATTCAAGAACTGTAATCCATTAAAATTGATAAGCTACATACATCATATATGTATTATATTATATGGATTAAAATTGTCGATATTTGTTGTACCATAATCACAATGGAAATCGAATTCTTTGATCGATATTTTATACTTCATATATTATATTAAATGGATTAAAATTGTCGATATTCGTTGCACTATAATCGAAATCGAAATCTTTATCGATATTTTATACTTCATATATGGATCATTCAAATCAAATCTCATTTACGGTTCAGTAAATGGATCTAAAGTCTAAGTTCTTAGTAAGAGAGAAATTTGACCTATAGATGCTCATATTATATATCATGGATAGCCCGATTTTCTAATTCAATTTCAATCACATTTAATTTACCATTAACACAGTTTATTTGTTTTTTTGTTTTCGAGGGTATTTCCCGCCCTCGATTCGCACTGGAGTTGATAGCCGCCTTGACAGCACATTGTGGGCATGGCAATTGTAAGCTTAATTAATTATTAATTAGCGAATCTCTCCAACAAGCACAAAGCCCAACAAATGCGGGAAATAAAAAATGTTTAAAAAAAAATGTAAAAAAAAGAAATTGAAAATAAAGAAATAAATGAGTATATCAAATAATTCACATTAAAACATTGCACAAAAGGGAGCAGAAGTTGGATGAGGACCAGAAATAGCAGCTGGATGGTGGTTGGGTGGTGGTTGGGTGGCCACTATGGGTGGTTGTGGTGAGCGCGTGCGGCTGCTTTTGTTGACCGCAGTCCGCGCATTAGCGTGGCTAAATAACTAAGGTCTGTGGGCGGTGTATGCGAGTGTGTGTATATGTGTTTGTGTGTGTGGCTTGGCCTGACTCGAGTGTCCACTTGTCGGCTGACTGCAGCGGGTAACGTGGTAATTGGAATTAATTTAGCATTAAGCTGCATTTCTTTAGCCAACTCTTGTTCCACTCCCTCTCCCTCCCTCCCACTCTCTCTCTCTCTTTCTCTCTCTTCGACTCTCTTCTCTCTCTGACCCTCTGAAGTGCCTAGATTTTATATAATTTTCTCTATTCTCATCTGGCTGTTAAT